CCTCCCTGTGCCCACCCCGTGCCAGTGAGCAGTGTAATGGGCTCCACCTAACCAAATATCCTGAAGGATTGGTTGGGCTCCAAGCAATTTAAATAGAACTATACCTCAGCTGTTTCCCAAAAGTTAGCATGAGGCTTCCATGGAAATAGCCTGCGAGAGCCAGCCTTGACTGGAGCAGACAGTGGGCACCTGGCTCACAGGGCACGGACCTGGAGGAACCCGGTTCTAAGTGTGTTGATGGCAAATGAGAAGAGGCGCTGCCATGCTGAGCCTCCCCTGTGTTCTTTCATTTTATTTAAAAAATGTGTGTTTATTGATTTCAGAGAGGAAGGGAGAGGGAGAGAGAGAGCACCATCAGTGACGAGAGAGAATCAGGGACCGGCCGCCTCCTGCACGCCCCACATTGGGGATCGAGCCCACAACCCGGACCTGTGCCCTGACTGGGAATCGAACCCTGACCTCCTGGTTCATAAGTCGATGCTCAGGCTGAGCTGTGTTGTTCCAACCCTCACAACAGCCTGCGAGGGGAGGGCAGGCGTGTCCGCTCCTGATGGCGAAGGGGCAGGGCCCGCGGGCGGGGCCGGGGCGCACAGCCCAGCCCTGAGGTGTCTTTGGAGGAAGTTGCACACCCTCACCTGCAGTGTCAGGACCTTCGTCCATCGAAGCAGGAGCCCTGGACGTCCGCTCGGGGCTGGAAGGGCCGTGACTCCCTGCACCCCCCTCGCCTGCACCCACAGGAGCCCATTTCTGGGTGAATGAGCACCCGCTGGCTCTGGCCGTGGCTATTTATCTAGCGCTGGTCCTTAAATTATGCCTCTCCCCAGTTTCGTCTGGGCATGGGGCGCGAGGTTATTACCTTCAAAATGAAGAATGAAAACATAAATCCGTAGCAACAAGAATGACAGCGCCCGGCAGGCGGAGGCGCAGCTTTAATCACGGCCCTCCCGGAGGAGGCCAGCCAGGCATCCATTACAGCCCGCAGCGGGAGACTGAGCCGGGCCCCTGCGGAACTCCCTGGGAGGCCCCTGGGAGGCTCCTGGGTGGAGGGCGTGTGGTGGAGGCTGTTGGCGAATCGCCGAGCCTGGGTTACTCTGGGAGCGAGGCTGCGGCCTGGTGACGCCGGGGCCGCGCGGGCGGCAGTGGGAGGGAGGGCCCGTCGGTGAGTCAGGGTCTGAGGGAATGACCGCTGCCCAGCGGAGGACAGCAGGGTTCTGCAGGTGCTGGGGAGGCTCTGCTTCCGGCCCATCCAAGGTGCTCACAGACGCCCCAGCAGACTGGGGTCCAGTCCCGGAGGCCAGCGGGAGGGCAGCCAAGGGCACTCGGCGGCTGCAGCAAGTGGGTGCCCCTGCGCTCAGCCCGCCCTGCCGCCAGGACACAACCCCAGGCAGCTGAGCTCTGGGTCCGGCCAGCGGGATGGAACTTCTGAGGCGAACGGGAAGTTTCCATCAGAGGCGGAACGACTTTTTTTAAGCATCCATTTGTCTTATTACCACAAAGGCTTTGGGCCTGAGCTCATGCCTAAGACACATAAAAGAAAAACGAGAATGCTGCAGGTCATGCTGCTTTTCACAAACCGAAGCGAGTAACACTGTGTTGAACAGGGGCTTTCTTTCCTCCGGATGCTGTGATATTGCTCGTGCTTTCGGCACTTTCTGGACCAAGAAGAGAGAATAAGGAAAGGGGGGGCGCGGTGAGGGTGTCCTTACGCGGACAAAGTGGGAGAGGAAAGCTCAAGACCACGAGGGGGCTGCAGTGCTCGGGCGGGACAGTTCCTGCAGACACTTCGATGCATCCTGACCGACCGTGAACTGCTCTCAGCCTCCAACAGGGAAAAAACCTCGAGAGAGAAGCGGATAGACCACTTTGTGAGTTCCATCCGCAGGCTGCCCCTGGCTCGGTATGACAAGCACGTAAGCTGATGGATTGGGGTGGAGCGGAGCTAACTGTCCGGGGCTCCTTGGAGCATCAGGCAGAGCTGGTTCATGAACCTCTGCAGTGGACTTACCTAGGGCAAGTCCACACACGGATTGAACGCTTTCCTTCATTTCGTGTTGTTAAGACCTGCACCTGCACAGAACGGCTCAGGTCAGGCAGGCTTGGGTGGGCTGTGCTCTGTGGCTCCTGTTCTGAGCCTGTAGAGTTTGCCTGGCCCTGGCCGACATGGCTCAGTGGTTGAATCAACCTATGAACTAGGAGGTCGTGGTTCAGTTCCAGTCAAGGGCACACACCTGGGTTGCAGGCTCGATCACCAGTAGGGGATGTGCAGGAGGCAGCCGATCCATGTTTCTGTGTCTCCTCTCTAAGGAAAGCAATAAAACTATATTGTATAAAAAGAGAAAATCAATAAGGAAACTTTTTTTTTAAGGTGCTGTGGAGTCCTGTTTACCCTGGCTGATCGGAGCCGCCCCTCCCCTCCTCGGGTTGGGCTCAGCTTGCACGGCGGGCACCCACTGCCGTGCCCTCAGGGGCACCCAGGGGACTTGGCTAGTCCACCAGCGGGGCTACAGAAACACAGCCATCGAAAAGCTCCTTGGGTTATCTGGGGGAAAGTCATTTCTAGGAAGTTGAAGGTCTTAGGGGTGAGCACCGTGTTAGCTGCGACTTAATTACAAAGGATTCAGCGGACAGATGCTGACATGCAGCACCCGGGGGTGTGTGTGCAGGAGACGGCCCCCCACACTCAGCCATGCAGAGTGTTCGCGGGGGTAAATTGCAGGAAGCAGATAGTTTGGAAATGTGAAATGTTTCTCTAGATTGAAAACTTATAACACAAAGAGGGGAATCTGCCAGCACAAGCTGCTCTGAGTCTTGCACGGGAAGGGGCGGCCCTCGGGAAGAGCTGGTCAGGAGGGAAAAAGGGTTTTCAGACCCAAACAAGTCACCGGGCGGGGTCCACGCTGGTGACCGGAGCCGGCGGACCCCTCCGGACGGGCTGTGGCAGACCCGCCATGCCCGCCTTAGGCGGCCTCTGGGAGCGTGTGCTCAGCCTGCGGGCGGGCAGGCGGGCGCGGGAGGCTGCCCGGAGATGCTCACCGGGTGTCTTCCGATTCCCATTCTGTTCCGTCCTGTCCCGGGCGCTCAGAGCTCAGCGTGACGCTGAGAAGCCTGCCATGCGGTGTCCTGTAGCCACGCAGGCGGGAAAATGGTCTGAAAGGGGATCTCAGGATTCACCCACTCTGGCCTCGCAGAGCCGACAGCTCGGAATCTGCTGTAGCCTGTAGCTGGGCAGCCTGACCTCGGCCTGGCCGTTCCTCCCCAGCCCAGCCGCCCTGGAAAGTGAGGAGCGGTCTCGTGTCATGGCGTGGGCTGTGGCCCGGGCGCCGGCTGCCGTGCTCTCTCTTCTCAGGGGCCCCGGCCCAGGTGGCAGCCCGGAGGTGGGGGCTGGGTCTGCAGATCCCCGGGGTGTCGTAGTGGAGACCACGTTGGCGACTCTCCGGCAGGAGGGAGCGAGCGAGCAGGCCCCAGTCCGGTCTCGAGGCACTTGGCTCTTCTGCGCAGCTCGCTGACTGTGCTCCCCGCAAGGCTGGGGTCTGGGCGGGCCTCTGGGAGCGTTCCTTACCCATCCCTCTTCTCCTGCCTTTTAAAACCGTCTAACCTTTACCCAGGTTATAAAACTCGAGGAACTGGATTTGTCCGTGTTGTTGGTAAAGGTTTTAACAGTAACGGCTCTGCCACCTTCATAAGCTCACCTTACTCCACATTAAAATGTCACAGTTCCCTGATCTTCCCCTGTTCTGTCAGTTGTCATGGTGTTTCTATAGCTTTAACATGCTTCATCTGTCCCATTTCTGATACCTGACCTTGAGGATATGTTTTAAGTGGTTATTATAGTGCTAACAACACTGTGATATTCATCAACTTAAATACCACACACATCGAGGCACTGAAGTTACGAAAAGGTGTCAGAAAAGGGTAGTTTCTCATCAGTGATTTCCAGAGTGGACAGGTAGATATCTGCTGGAAACCGGAAGCCAAATATTAATCTCTGAGACTGAGGATTATAAAATATATTGCCAATAACTGATAAAAATAGGAAACTTGAATCTTTATTGTGCTTTTCATTTTACAAGTATTGCCACCCATAATGTTAGTGAAGATGGCTGAACAAATGACCATTCAGTATGTCTTTTTTTGTAAATTAGTAAAACAAATGGAGCTTCATAAGACTTTAGGATCTTTTCTCATTTATATTCTGTTTTAAACAAATCATATGCATTTGGGAGTCTAAATATTTTCACTCCTAATGATCAAAAATACCTTACCCAGCCAGCAGTAAGTTAAGGATTAGAGAAGTATTTAGTAACTTTAGAGACCTAGAGTTACAGCACGGTTGTTCTTTCACTGGTAAGTGCTTTTGGGTCAAGTTAGCTCTTTGCAAACATGGACGTGTGAGGCCCGCCAGGGGCTTCCTCCTTGCCAGAGGCGCATGCTCACTGACTGACTGCCCAGCTCTGACTCCGATGGCGTGTTGCTAGGCGGCACGTGTCCTGGTGGAGAGCCCAGTGAGAGGCACAGCCCCGTCCCGGCCTGGGTGCCGCCCGCCCTGCGGCTCTGTCTTCCCGGGTGTGACCCTGGGTTGAAACAGCTTCATCAAAAACCCAGCAACCCGGGAGGCTCTCGCATCCTGGGAGATGCCTGCTCCATCCCTGTGGATCGATAGGAAGAAGAAAAGTCCAGAGCCTTCAAACTGTGCTCGGAGGGTGAAGCTGGACTCAGGAGCATGGTCTCTGCGTCCCCACAGCCCCAACTCCGTCCCTCACAGCCGCGGCGGCAGAGGGCACCCCATGGCCCCAGCAGCAGGCCGCGCACTCGGCTCAGTGGGGCCGTGGCCGGAAGAAATGCCTCTTTCTGTTTCGAGCATGAAACTAGCTCTCCCAGATGACTGTGCTGCAGCCGTGGTGGGACGTTCACCCGTGAATGTGTCCAGGGCTCCCGGAAGCAGCCGGCGCCTGCCCGCTTGGTTCTGGGTCGATCCCTGACACCACACCTGCTTCTTCCCCGCAGGTCGCCCGGCCTACAACAGCTTCTACGTCTACTGCAAGGGCCCCTGCCAGCGGGTGCAGCCGGGGAAGCTCCGGGTGCGGTGCGGCGCCTGCCAGCAGGCCACGCTCACGCTGGCCCAGGTAAGGCCCGAGCGCCGGCAGAGGGAGCGTGGTGTGAAGTTGTCGTGGGAGTTCCTAATGAGCCGTCGCCGCGTCCCACCCCGCGGCCTTCGTGTGGTGGCCATGGTCAGTGATGCCGACGGCTCAGTTAAAGCTGCAGGACTGGGGAGGTCCGGGGAGCCCGCGGGGCCCGGGTCTTCGTGCAGGCCTGCTGGCAGGAGAGGGACGGCCTTCCCCAGGAGGGGAGACTTGGGGTGCCTTCTTCACCTTCCGAAGGTGCTGGGCAGGGTTCGGGGCCCGGGTCTGTGTGGGGTCACAGGCTTGTGTATACATGTCAGCATTCAAGGGGCTCCCTGTGCCCGTGCGCTGAAGGGCGCTGAGTGGAGGGGTGGGTGGGAAGGGAGCGGCCGCTGGGGGACGCCACCCGGTGCCTTTGGAACGGGGCCGCAGCCCAGCGTCTGCTGTGGCCTCGCCGGCTTCTGTGCCGCCCAAGGCTGAGGACGTGACGTTTTTACGTGGTTGGGAAACAGCAGAAGGAGAACGTCGTGTGACCCGGGACCTTCAGGTGAAGCTGGCACTCAGCAGCCGCAGTGAAATCCTGTTGGGCCATGGCCAGTAGTTTGTCGGTGTTTCAGGCCAATACATGGCAGCCACACAGGCAGGCCGGGTGGGAAGACAGCGTGCGAGTGATCCAGGCTCGTCCTTACCCCCCTCACACCCAGAGGGGACCTTCCAGGCTGTCCCTGGAGAGGCTTCTGTCCTAAAGCCCCACAGCGTTCTCCACCCGACGCCCCCGCCTTCCCAGTGCAGCCAACAGCCCTGCTGGTCGGTCCGGCACAGCCCCGACCCTCACACGGGCTGTGACTGTTACCGCCTACTGTTCCCAGTACAAAGGCAATAACCAATCATTACTGAACTCCAAGCTTAATCCTTTCCGTGGGTTATCTCCATTAATTACGTGCAAACACTCTGAGGTCAGCACTGTTAGCAAATCCCGTTAGATTGGGGAGGGAAGGAGGCTTAAGGAGATTAGGTAAACAAGCCCGCTAAGTGGTGGCCCGGGATTTGAACCGGCTGTGTGACCTCGGCCTGGAGGTTAAAGTTCCCCTTCACCACACAGATGGAGCTGTTACACGAGGTCACCTGTCAGTGCCCCGCGACCACAGGTGAGCGAAGGGCTAAGTCAGGTGCGGGCAGTGGGCGGGAGGCCGGCTCCGGACAGGAGTCAGCCCCCAGGTGTCAGCAATTGGGGGTGGGGTCCTCAGTGTGGCCAATCTTTAGTTAACAAGGAGGAACCATAAACATGCAATCTTTCCTGGAAAAGTGTGCTCCCCGGGGAAATAAAGCAACGCCAAGGAAAAGCACCGCAGCATCTGCCTAAATGCCCACACCTGCGTGCAGGGTCACGTGATGGTGGGTTCGGCCGCAGCAGCTCCCGTCTCGGTGAGTCTCCGCGGGGGCGGTGTGGGGTGAGCCCTCCCAGGGCTCCGGAGGGAGGCCCCTTCATCACCTTCCCCACCCCCAGCAGCTGAGGAACTCGGGGGCGGGGCCCCGGGACCCAGGGCTTAGGGAGCAGGTTGGGTTCTTACTTGCGCCCATTAGTGGAAACGTGAAGAGTACTGAGAACGCCAGCTGGAACATGAATACTTACAAACGTAAACTGCCGTGTGATTGTTTTCACATATATTAATATTACTATAACACACACACACACACACACACACACATCTACTTTTCCTGGAAATCAATACAGGCTTGGCTAATTCCTTTTGAAGAAGCGAATGCACCCCACCCCAGCCATGTATTTTTCTCTAATTCTCATGACAGACCTGCACAGTAGCTCTTGTCACCTCGTGGTGTGAACAGAGGGTCAATGGCCACCCAAGTCAGGTGTGGGCACCAGGAGGGAGCAGTCCTGTCTGTGTTTCCCGGGAGCACTCCTTTCCTAGCGAAGACCTGGACGCTCAGATCTGCTGGTCAGTGTCCCATGGTCCAGCTAAAGAGACCCTTCAAAAGTTCTCCTGGAAAGCAGAGGCCGGTTTGGCTCAACGGATAGAGCGTCCGCTTGGGGACTGAAGGGTCCCGGGTTCGATTCCGGTCAAGAGCATGTACCTTGGTTGCGAGCATATCCCCAGTAGGGGGTGTGCAAGAGGCAGCTGATTGATGACTCTCTCTCATCGATGTTTCTAACTGTCTATCTCTCTCCCTTCCTCTCTACAAAATCAATAAAATATATTTAAAAAATTAAAAAATAAATAAATAAATAAAAAGTTCTCCTGGAAAGATGTGCTGGAGGGTTTTTAAAAATGGCCGTCTTCAAACACTACTCCAGGATGGCCTAGCCCAGGTGTGCAGTACAGTGTCGGTGTCTGCGTGCCGCCCCCTGGCACTCGGCATGGGCGCGGGCCAGGCGCCTCAGCCTCCGTCAGCGACAGTGGGCACACTCCTCGGGGCCCTTGGGTGCCATCTCTGGGGTGTGGCCACCAGCCCACTGCTGTGGGCCCGCCCAGCGACCATGTGCAGGGCTGAGCCTCCCGGCGGAGGGGTTCTATGTGGACACGAGGCAGTGCTCCGTCTCCTTTCCCAGAGATTTGCAAAGACCTGCAATCCACATGGTCTCCCCTGGCCAAGGAAAAGGAGAGAGAACTCGGACTGGGTGTGGCTGGCGAGTGTGATGGCAGAGGGTTTATCTGGGGCTCTTTCCATTCGTTTATGTGACGCGTCACATTATTGGTTTGCGAATATTGTACCAGCCTTGCATCCCTGGGATAAATCCCTCTTGGTCATGGTGTAGGATCTTTTTAACATATTGCTGGATGCGATTTGCTAATATATTGTTGAGGATTTTAGCATCTGTGTACATCAGTGATATCGGCCTGTAATTCTCTTTGTGGTGTTTGTATCTGGATTTGGAATTGGGCTAATGCTGGCCTCAGAGAAAAGGTTTGGAAGTGTTCCTTCCTCTTAGATTTTCTGGAAGAGTTGAGGAGTCAGGTGTCAGTTCTTTGAATGTTTGGTAAAACTCCGCTGTGAAGCCGTCTGGAGCCGGGGTCCTGTTTGCTGGGGGTTTTCTGATCACGGCTTCCATTTCATCAGTTGTGCTGGCCTAGTCAGCTTTCCTGATTCCTCCGGGTTCATCTGGGAGACTGTATGTTTCTAGGCACTTGTCCATTTCACCCACATTGTCCAGCCTGTCGGCCTACAGTCATGCACATCCGGACTGCCATAGGGGCTTTTCCTGCACAAGGAGACACACTTGAACCTACTCAGCCCCCTGGGTTATTTTTAAAAACAGAATCTTACGTTTTTGGCTGGAGAAGTAAGTCGGCAATGAGCCGCAGGCTCTCCTGAGTTGCAACAGTGGCCTCCTCATGCTGGGGGGTGGTTTTGAAATTACCCATAATTCCAGCGTCTTCTCACCACCTCTCACACGTGACGCGGGAGGTGGCCGTGGCCGCCTGCTTCCTCTGGACAGAACATCGTCAACGCAGAGGAGCAGCCGCTGCTGCTGCGGTGCGAGGGGTGGCGAACTGCTGTCTGAGGTTCGGCCTGGCCTGGAGGACACCTTGGTCCGCTTGGTTTTCTTCTTTGTCCAAATCAAATTATCTTTTTTATTTCATGCTCACCTTGACTAGGGTTTCCATTAATCAAAAGGGCCTTTAGAAAAATGAACACTCACTCGAAAATAGCGAGCAGCGGCCGATTGGAAAACCGTGGCCGGCATCCAATTCCCTCGCCCGCCCGAGGTTGCCCACCTCGAGTCCGCACAGAAACGATGCAGCCTGAACATGAGAGGGCACATTGCCAGTGCACACGCGTGTCCGGTCGCGCTCGGGGCCAATAAGTGGATGATGGAGAGCATCTGCCATCGCCGCCTTCCTTGCCAGCGCAGAAAAGCAAGCATCGCCTGGCCGGGTCCTCAGAGCCCTTGGACTTTTCATGCCCCAGCTAAGTGGGCAGAAGAGGCAGGCTTTCCAAGCTCTGGAGGCCATCACTGCTGTTAGAAAAGGATTAGAACTGAAGAGGAATGCCCACTGAAAACAGAAACAGCGCCCAGAGACTTGCAGATGCTCGCCCTTTGCCCTTCCCCTAGGACCAGAGTGGCAGTGGTTCCTCCTGCCCTCGGCCTGTCCTGGGGAGGGGCGAGCTCCGGAGAGGAAGCAGGAAGTGCAGACAGATGTGGCTCTCAGCTCCGCCACCAGGAGGCACGGGGGCCGTTACACGGTCTTTTGGCTGGTGCCCTTCCGGAGAAGCTCAGGCGATGGAGGCGTCTGCCTGGGGACCGTCCTAGGGGGTCCCTCTCCGCCACTGCAGGCGTCCACCCGCTGAGGCTGCCTGTCCTCTCCGGGATCTCAGGCCAGGAGCTGCCACGGCCTGGTGGCCGGCGCCTCCTGTAGGAAATGAAGCTTCCATAACAGGAAGAAGCGGCGGCTTTTCTAGCGGGACACAGGCTGACAGTGCAGCGAGGGCCTCATGGCCAAGCCCGGTGGACTGTGACAGTGATGGAGACAGGATGCGCAGGAGTGAGCCAGGACACTCGCACACAGCGCTCTGCTGGGATCCCGGGCTCCGGACGCCTGGAGAGAGTGGCCGCCACGGCCTGGGCCTCTAGGTGCTTGAATTCTGGTTCTCAGACTTATTAGCTGGATGACTTTGTCTCAATTTATTTCTCTCGTTGGTGTTGTTAATATGTATTTTTATTGATTTCAGAGAGGTAGGAAGAGAGAGAGAGAGAGAGTCATTGAGCGGCTGCCTCCCACACGCCCTGCACTGGGGAGAGAGCCCACAACCTGGGCCTGTGCCCTGACTGGCAATCGAGCTGTGACCTCCTGGCTCATAGGTTGACACTCAACCACTGAGCCACACTGGCCAGGCAACTTGTCTAAATTTCCTTGTCATAAACCGGAAGTAAGATTTCATTGACGTTACAGCAGAGGTTCAAGGACTAGCTCCTTAAAGCGGGCAGTGTGGTGCCTGGCACGTGAGACGCGGTGGAAGCTGGTAGGTCTCACTGCCATTCC